GTTTCATAGATGATCTTGAGCTGTCATCTAAGAGAATAAGAAGAATAAGCCAAAACGTACTTAATGAATGATTCTATGTAGATGTCGATGTCGATGTAAATAAAGCCATTTTTCAAAACGAGGTAATTTAAAAGTGAACCGTTACAAAATATTTCGAATTTTCAAGCATAGAATACTGGTTTTTGCCAGAAAATTGGTGTTTTGATACCCAAAGAGCTGTGATAGTATTTTTTTTATTTACGGAGCTCATGTTTCAGCATTAAAACAGTACTTTTGAAACCTGGCTTTATGTACGTCAATATAGAATCATTCATAAAGTGCATTGTAACTTTTCTTCTTACACTCTTAGATTACAACAACAAAAATCATCTATGAAATGCTTAACAGATGTTTTTATTACTCGATAACAAGTAAAATTTGTTTCATTATGTCACCAATAATACTTAACAGTATTATTTCCTTATCTTATCAATATGACAAAAAAAACTTTGAATAAACTTCTACCAATAATAAAAACAATCAGCCCATTCAGTTGAACTGATGCAGAGATTTTTCATTTTTTATCATGATGCTATGAATGGCCAACACTGTATATTATGTACTATAGAGGCAAAATTATAGTGTTCGTAACGACTGAAAAAAGTGATAGGAAACCAAGTCCTTCGAGAGTTTTTACTATAGCACTGAACAGTATCTATCGGCAAAATAATCTTTGAGATCTAAGGGAGTAGTTGAAAATGTTTCCTAGTACGTTTTCGATGCTAACACATGTGGCACGGTTGAACATTTTTCAATTGTTCTTTTCGTGACTGAATGATGATGCCAAACATTAAAAATATTCTGCCATTGAGAAATGCAATATTCCAAATTGATCGAGTAGTTTCGATTGGTCTTGGTATTCGTTCATATTAGAAATGGATACTTGAAATTGGAGAAAAACAACAAAACATCTTTCTAAATTCGAATTTACTTTGATCATGAAATACGTGAGCTTTAGACCAATACTCAGATCAAATATCAACTGTCGAGTTTCTACAATCTTTTAATTTCTCACACGCACACTTGACATTCAGTAAGATCCACAAGTTGTTATTCTACTATAAAACAATTGAAAAAGTGATCTGTATTTTCTTTATTCGTGAATAAGACATCAGCAGTTGCTATCCTTTTAGATTGACAATTGCTTTCAAGTGCGTGGTGAAAGCAAAAATAATTCTATCATTCGGCTATTGTTATTGATGTTCTCGTCTATGTACTGGCTCTTTTCGAAGTCGGCAATGCTTTCTGCGTAAATTTCGAGTGTGTAAATGAAACCGGTGAATGCTTGAAAAAAAACGCGTCCTATTCAACATTTAACTTCAGCTAATTCTTTCTATCTATATTTTGATTAGGATGATAAATGATAAAAGTTTGATGGCTTCCAACAAAAGTAGCTGGCAATGTAGCGTTCAAAAATGATTAATATATTTTGCTTGAGAGTATTAAAGAGAGCTGTTCAAATGGTGAAAATACAATGGATAGTTCTGCGACAAAACTTATGTTCTATGCATTATATTCGCATTCCGATCCGTCATATATAGTTGAGTTATCCGCCTTGCGAACCTACGCGACTTTCATCGCCCTATTCTTATTTGCTTTTGTTTGTACAATCTGTCTTGATTAACGAGTCGTCATCAATCGTGTTGTAAGATCTGCCAATGGCGAAATCGAATCTGTCAAATATATGTGGTTATTTTTTGTTTTTGCAAAATAAAAACGGATCATTTTTCTATCAAAAGATGAAGAATTCAATTCTCAATGAACTCCTATGCCGCCAAGTTTTCCCGATATCCTTTCGAAATGATCAGCTGGTGTTTAATAAAAATTTATACTAATTTAACGGAAATCATCTGTCTCAGCGTGTATTACAAAGGCAATCTGCTTTTCCTTTTAGAATATTCGAACTTTTTTCTTGGTAATTCGTTTGATAAAGCGTTGATTAAGCTTCGAGTAAGAAAGCAAATCCATTCTATGCAAAATTCTGACCAAAATGAGCTTGATTCGGTCATACATGTCCTTCGTAGAATACTTGTCTTAAAAACGAGTCACTCAATGATGGAAACCTTGCTTCCTCAAAATCTCGCTTATTGTTTAAATAAAAGAATGCACATTGAAAAACACCGTTGTATACGTAAACGATTGAACGTTTTGAGCTTTGTTCAGTAGTCAATAATGCTTCTTTTACTTCTATCGTTGTAAAATAATTTGAATAGGATTTTGTAAAAAAATGTATGATGCAATTTCTACCAGGAAAGTTAGGATCGCCTATTACTTCCTTTACATTTAAATAAAAGAGAAAAAATGTTCCAATATTTTTGCCAGACGCGATGGCATTGCAACTACTATTGTGAATATATTAATACCAGTATATTGGATATGCAATCAATCAATTATTCGAAACTTATCCTAGCTTCATTGTAAATATTACGGGCGAAGAGCTGGAGAATGGTCACATCTCGCTAGAGAATCCATGGTACCTATATGGTCTGATGCGCAGTATACTATAAAAAATAACAGATGCACTTTTAACTTACAGAACCATTAGTACTTGTCTTCTTCTCCTTCTACACGATTGTCATTGCTATTTGATTTGAATAGATAAGTAGGCTACGCTGAAATTTTCGATCTCATCAGATATCAAGCTCAATCGAATAAAATCGTAAAGAGATTACTAAATCTTGATACATCGAATCGGTACGAGTTTCAACATTTAGCAGTCTCAAATTCTACATCTATGTTATTCTGAATTTACCGATAACTGAACATGATATAACAAGAACAAACATTGAGACCAATATCGGAGAGTTTTGGGCTGCAGGTTAAGATAGTTGACTACATTTGGTTCGAATTAATGCTCTCAACGTCAAACTAGAAGAATCTTAAATCTTATGGGGCGTACATAGCGTGACCAAAGCGACATACTCGAATTTGAACGTATTGGAAAGGAGGGATACGTTAAATCAAAAAGCGGTTCCATCGGCATCTTTTTAGAACATCTCTTCTGTAAACTATATAGATCGGTATGTTTTAGCAGGGTGAATATTTTGGTGGAATTTTCCTATACCATGAAATTATTTTTACGAGCTATTTTGATCACTAGTGAAAGTAAACAGGTGGTCGAAACATTTTTGAGTTTTTGCATGATCGTTTTTCAAGAAACTGTCCAAACGAATGTTTTCTTCATAAATCAAACAGTTTTTACTAATGTCGAAGGTTATTTCTGAGAATGAACATGGATATGACTATTGTATAAAGTCAAAATTCATCATAGTACACTTGATATCACGATATGTTATCAAAACAAAATCGAGTATGGATTAGAATTGTTATAGTTATCATTGATTTATTTTTATTTCCTGCTATTAGCAGTATTTATGTATTTTGCATAAATGTAAGAGATCACAATGTGAAGAGTGCGTGGAAAACAGAGTAAATATACAAATAATTAATATTGTCTATACCTGACCAACACTTAATGAATATAAGTTTTTAATATAGATTGTGTGGTTTTAGAAAGTTCCCAGTTATTAATAGATATCAAGAGAGAGGAGTAAGTTATGGAAATGAGTAGTGAATCAGAGCTCTTATGCGATTACTGTAGTGATTGATATAAAGGTACGACTCACTAATGCATTCATTTGAATGATATTGAGTCAGAAAAACAAGAACGGTCCCTATTGGATTAAGGTGTGTGTGTGTTTCCTCCGCACGCAAACCCAGATTCCTAGTGAGCTCCTGGTTAAAAGAAACAAAAACAACATCCACATCCATTGTTTATTTCGTATTGATTTCGAAAGAATATTTTTATTATAGTGAACAGACTATAACACGTCATTGTGATTTAGTGTGATGTAACCAATCAGATCTTATTGAGCAAATGTATTTATAGAAACCAGTGTTGCATAACGCTAGCAATTTACAGAATAATGTATATGTAAATGAAGCACAAAGTTTCCAAGTAAACTATAATAAAATGAATGATATTCGTAATGAAATTTAAACAGTGTCTCACCTACATAACACATTGAATTACCAATTTTTTTCTTTGAATCATGTAGTAATGTACATCACACATGCATCAGCCGATATGTGCTGTTTGAAGAATTGGTAAAGTAGTATAAAAATGTGGTAAAGATCCGTACAGTAATAAATTCTGAAGTTCACTAGGTTGAATAAAACTAAAGTCTTTTATTTCGCTCATTTTTCTATGAAAAAAATATAGAAATACTTAGATGCATATTGTGAGATCAATTTCTTCCTGTATATTTGGGAATGAAGATTGAATTAAAGTTCTAACAATATCTCGGAAACGTCTTAATAAAGTCACATGTTGATAATCATATCATATCGAAATTAGAAGTGGAACATCAAGAATTTCTCTTAAAAGGCTCATATCTACATGAGGCTGTACAGTTTTATCGGCATTCTTCAATCTGTTGAGCATATAAATCAAACGATCATGGATATACAAATATTGAAAAAATGTGGTAATGAATATGAACGATTCTTGCATCTTCGACCATAATGGTCTTTTGTAGGGGAATAATAACAACAATGATACCCAGCATGGCCAATAAAGCTAAGTATGAAATATAACGCTGGGCAATCTGTGATAATGCCATAACATAAGACATTAAACTTAGAAGAATAACCATGTATATCAATTCCTGAAAAAGAAATTTAGTATTAGCTTTCAATGGATACAATACTAAATACAATAAAACAAAAAGATTGAGACATTGCATTGTAACTGTAAATATTTTCATTTAAATTCCTATTATTTAATTAATTTATTAATTGCATGTATGTGAACGACGACACATGGGAACAATGAGCAAAAAAAGTACTATATAGTTCAAGCGATGACCTCAGAAATAAATCGACAAATTTAAGCAGTGAAACATTTAACGTGTAGCAGCGGCATTCTATTATGAGTATTACTATTTTATGAATGTATCTGCCCTGAAAAATCTAACTAAAATGACTATTAATGTATGTCAATAAATTCATTATCTACTGATGTGTATTCGTGAGAAGTAACAGTAATTAACAGTTTCTCCATTAAAGTATTATATCGTTCACTCCTTCAAGAATTTTACTGTCACTTGAAGACTAAATGCAAAGCATTTGTTTTAATACTCAATCAATGAGACTCTGCTCAAACTATACTTTTCTTTTCGTCACATACAAAAATATCAATATTAAAAAATCAAAATTGAAGCTGGTACTTTAATCAAGGAAAAGTGAATGTCAGAGACATAGCTTGAGAACAATAACATTTAATACTTTGTGCTCTGAATAATCAGAAATGAAGAATAAAGAACGTTGTTGCATACAATAACATTTCAAGAAGAATATTTCCAAGGGCAATTCGCTACGCAAAACGTCTAAATAACCCATAGTAATAGTATTTTGTTTTTCGGTGAATTATTAGTAACAGATGGAAACAATTTGATTTGTGTCAACAAGACTATTTATCGTAGAAAAAAGGCACCGGGTTTACTTTAATAAGTATTAT